TATTTAAAATATTAATTAAAATAAATTAAAATAATTGTCATAATTGTTTTATTTGTAAATAATTAATTTATAAGACTTATTTTTAATATTTTGTAAATCTTTTCGTGGTCTTTGCATAATCAGATTGCAAATCATAAACACTTATTATAAATATTATGAAATATTTATTGTAAACGTTGTAGCAAATTCTATAAAAATACTTAATAAGACATTATCATCCAAGTAAAAAATATTTATTAGAAATATTTATTCATATTTATCATAAACATTCTGTGCTATCTGAGAATCTAAGCAAATATGTTAAAGAAAAATAAAATGTTTGCATAAGATCAACTTAGCAAAATTACCTTATTTACATATCTATGATATACGTATATAATTTTAATTGTATGAAATATTCAAGAATACAGAAGTCATATACAAAAGGACTGTTAAACATAGGGTAGTAATGTTAAATGAATGGGAACTCCAAACAAACATCAATGTTATCGATGCAAATAAAGAAATGAATAGTGCAAAGCAACTACGATATTACATTGATACGATAATTAAGCAAACGATTGATGAATTAAATAACCAGAAGAATGTCACAAATGAAGCTTTCAGACAACGTTGTGAACAGACTCGAGAAGCCAAAACGAAGCTAGAATTTCAGCACTCGGAGGTGCGTAAAAAAAAATGAACGTAATAATTTACTTTTGGCACAAAATCTTGATATTAATTAATTATTAATTTAAGATTTCACCAGATGACAAGTTTATGTATTATATATTTCTATTTTCGAAATCTATAATAAAATGTTGAAAGAAAAATATTTCCGGTCAATTTTTGATATATAGAAAAAATTGAACAGTCAAGGAAAATGTTGGAGTGATTTTATATCTTAACTCAAAAGTTTTGCTAGTACTTATTTTATAATTTTATTTAGAATTTATTTGTAGATAATAAAACAAGTTGCAGCGATATCAAGTAATATCACACATATAAAGAAGTCGATAGCTGAGAAAGAAGGGTATATAGCTCTGGCTCATACAAGACTAGGACATCGACGTCAACGTCCAGGGATTGAACATACTCAGGATTTAGTCCAAGTTAATCTCGTGAAGGAGATAAACGAGTTACGAAATGTCGTGGCAAATTTACAGCGAATGCTTTACGAGGTTTGTAACACCCGTTTTATACAGAATTCTAATTAGAATTCCATTCGCAAAACCGATGTAATAAATTTTGCGCAAATAGTAATCTTTTATTACTAAACGTATATTACAGGCAGAGGCATTACTACGTTACTTGCTTAAAACACAAATTCAACTCGAAGAGGATATTAATGTGAAGACAAATACTTTGAAAATTGATGAGGTTGAATGCGTGACTTTGCGTCAAAGTATAGATTATCGCGCGTATTGAAATGCTAATATTATAAAACATTTATATCTTATATTTACAACATTTATGATTTCTTCAACCTTTTCATTCTTAAATATAATATATATATATTACAATAATGTTCTTGAATCTATCAAAATTTTAGTTATTTATACATTTTATACACATGAATAATACATCAAATTAAAAGTATGACAAATAAAGTCATCCAGGCTCTTAATCTTTCATTGAAATCATAATAAATTATTAAAATAATATGTGCAAAATTATTTTAGTCTGAAAAGAAAAAATCATACATCTATAAATATTTATTAATTTATTATAATAAAACTTATAGTCTGCTGCAAATCAGTTTTAACAACAAGTTTTTTTCTTATATATTTTCTTATATATTTCTTATATATTTTTTATGTATAAGAAATTATGAATATAAGATTGTCTAATTACAGAAATTAATTTATGAACATCTCACGAAAAGCGAAACAATTAAAGTTGTTATAAAATGAGGTCATGTATCATTGTCGCTTCTTCCTGCACTTTTTGTTAGCGCAATCGCAGTCTGCGTAGTTATTCTCTCTCTCCTATCTCTCCCTCTCCTCATCGAAATAAAGCGAAAACCATAATGAATAGACGAATGGATAGTTTCAAGAACCGGTACATGTGAAAGGAAGGAGAGAAGACGCTTTCATGAACGGCCAACTGATTCACCGTTGCAATTTCATTTTAGTCCGCACGCTAACAGCAATCGAATCGGTCAGTAGATGTGTCTAAGTTTCTTGTTTCGTTGGCTATATTACAGAAGTTTATCTTCTCTGTGGAATTTTTTCACTTATTATCAAATCATCAGAGACGTCATAAAACGGTACAATCATTCGCAAGAATTATTCAGTATGTATGTGCGATGAGCGCATTATAAAACGTGACTTTTGCGATTGTGAATTGTTTAGAATAATAATATATAAATATCAAGAAACGTTTTTACTAAGAAAATTTTAATTTCTTAATTTTATATATTAATCTTTGTATAACATTAATTAAAAATTACATTAATCAAACGAATCGTAATTGGATAATTTAATATATTTCTTTTGTAAAAATAATTTTTATGAAATTATTCTGTATTTTTCAACTTTATTATACACAGATTTATTTTACTTTATTATGACGGATACTATATCGAAGATGTCAATTAATCACAACAATGTAATAAACGTTACATACATGGACAAAGATTGTGTAAGTATTTTCATAACAGTGTACACTTATTTTCGAACGCATTTTTATTTACTTATTTTGAATTGTATGTACAAATATATAGATAAAATAGCGAGACAATTTTTAAGCAATTTGAACATTGCTTAATGTATTCATATTTTAAATATTCCTCCCCCTTTTTGCATTTTCATTAAAATATAATCACATAATTATTAATTGTAATAAATATTCAAACAATAATTGTGTAATCAGATATATTTACAGATAAATATCTATTTAAAATAAATTACATACGAAATTATATACGAAAATAATATTTATAGAATTTGATTATATCTTCGAAATATTAAAAATTTTTAATATCCGGGAAAAAATGTTTTACATATAATTATATAAAAAATTGACACATTTTATACAATATTATTATACAATTATATAATTAATTATATATAAAATATTGGATCGAAAAAGTTCTGCGGAATTTTGTTGGCTTAAAATTATATACAAAATATATTCGTTGCAAAATTTTTGACTATCTGACATAAAAGCTTAAAATTTTTCCTAAAAATTCGTTTTTAAAAAATGTTTTACGACTTTTTGTTACAAAATTATACGCGGATTAAAAGAGCATTCTGATTTTGATTGCTCATAACTCTATTAAAAATCATCGCACCGTAATTAATAAAATAAATTTTTAAAGCTGAAATGTTGCTCTATCAAATAGTACTGCCAACTTTTTTTTTAAATAGAATATATGTAGATTTGAGCTAAAAATGTAATGCTGTTCTTTTTTCCATTACGCAATGTATATTATGTAAATAGATATATTGGATCGGAGGAAAAGTTTTAGTCGGAGAAAGTATTTTGTTAGTTCAAAATTATATATATAATATCTTTGATAAAAATGATCAAAATTTAAATTTAAAAAAAGGTTTTAAAGGCTTGAAATCTTTACTTCTAATGATTACTATATAATATTACTATATAATATATATAAGGATAGTAATATCATATTTTTATTCAAATTTTTATATATTTTACATTAAAAAAATTAGCATATTCAATAGAGTAACGTATTAACTTAAAAAAAATTTTTTTATTTACAGTACGATAATTTTTAATTATGAATTATGAGCAATCAAAGTCAGAATGCTTCTTTTTACTTGATTCGCGAATAATTCAATAATAAAAAATCGTAGAAACATTAAAAAAAAAATGATTTTACAAGGAAACTTCAAACTTTCACGATGTAGATCATCGAAAATTTTTGCAATTTTTTTGGCACGTGACACCCACAAAGAAAGAAAAAATTTTTCTTTTTTTAGCTTGTAGTTTTCTATATATAAAAATTACAAAATTCATACAAATTCAAAAAATATAGTAATCATTAGAAAGTAAAGATTTCAAGCTTTAAAACCTTTTTTTAAATTTAAATTTTGATCATTTTTATCAAAGATATTATATATATAATTTTGAACTAACAAAATACTTCCTCCGACTAAAACTTTTCCTCCGATCCAATATATCTATTTACATAATATTTTTTTCCGGGTACACGACAAATTTTAGTTGTCTAAATTTGTTGTCTAAGTTAAATCTTATAAAAGTAGTAACCAGTATTGATTTATCACAAATTTCAATTAATTTCTTTCATTTTTTTTCATTTTATATTAAATAATAACTTTTGAACGATTTCTATTATAATTGTATTAATCTCTGTCTAAATAAGCAAACTATTTTAATATTTGATTTGATATTCAATTATTTAAGTAAGTATTTAATTAAACAAATACAACTAACAAACTGATGACGTGATTTCATTCTAGGAAACAAATTATTCTTCATATTTTTGGAGACTAATTTTAAAAATATGCATATATTTGTATGTAAAATAAGTTAGATGATGTACATAAAGCAAACAACATATTTTTTTGTTTATTAAAAATTGAGAAATATTTATTTTCTTGATTTTTTCTTCTTTTGATGACTCACATATTATCTTACATAGGTAATAAAATTGCTGCCATGACAAATTTATTAGCTTATGTACTGTTAGTATAAAATATTAATAGAAGTTAACATATGTATATCATACTGTAAGAAATCACTATAAATTTGTATTACCCGCATAGACTCTTGTAGCAACATTGCTGCAACATTTCAATGTTGCATATTGCAATATAATGTTGCAGAAACATTGCGAAGATTTCTTTTTATTACTTCAGTAATGTGGCAGCAGTATTTAAAATATTTTCAGCAAGAGACACAAATTGAGACAAGAATCATTCTGTTCTTGCTTAAAAATCAGTAAAAAACAAAGACAAGAGTGATTCTTGTCGATTTATTTATCTGTGCCTCTGCTAGAAAATTCACTTTGAGTGTTCCCATATAACACAGAATTCGCTGCAATAACGCTGCAATATTGCTGCAACATGCAATATTGCTGCAATGTTGAAGTATTGTTGCTACAACTTTTGTGTTGTAGGGGTTAAGACTTGTATATTGATTTGTGTATAACTCAACAAAGTAAGGACCTGGACATAATGGAAGAATAGAAATTAATGATCACGTTTACACGGCATACTTAATCGGGTTTCATAACATCTGTAGTTATGAAACTGACTCAAACTGAATCTCATAATTATATTCTTTTGAAAAATGGAATGAATGGTTAGTTTCTAACTACGAATATTATTAAACCCGATTGATGTTCATTTTTACCAATATAGATTAATTTTAATCTAAGTTCAACTTACCTTCGTCTTTTTCTAAAAATTAGAAGAGTAAGTTGAACCGAAATTGAAGTTAATCTATATTAATAAAAACGGGTATAAGGTGTAAATATAGTCTATAATTTATAAGAATTATATAATAATTTATAGATATAAAATAATTAGAAATAAGGATTAAATATAATGCACAATGGACACAATAATAAAATATAAGACGTATAATATAAAAAATTGGAAATAGGAGTTAAATGTAATATACAATGGGTACAAATAAAATATAACTTCATAATTAATTATGTCTTTTTATATTTTATAGGCGTGTTCCAATAGGCGCAACCAATACTGAAAATTTATAGTTCACGTTACGTATACTGTAAATAAAATATAAAGACATAATTAATTATGAAGTCATATTTTATTTCATTGTATGTTACATTTAATCCCTACTTCTAATTCTTTATATTTAAATTTATATAGTACAAAATCTTATAATAAATATTGCAGTAATATTACAGCAATATTGCTGCATTATTATAATATTGCTGCAATAATACTGCAAGTATTTCTCCACTGTACGCAAAACCTAATATTGCATATATATCATGTTGTGATATTGCTGCAACATTGCGTATCAATATTTTTAAAATGGATTTTTTTACTTTGCTGCAATGTTGCTGAAATATTGCAACAATATTTCGCAATATTTTTGCAATCTTGTAATGAAATATTTTTGCAATGTTTCTATACTGTATGGGCATGCAAGTATATAAATTAATATTAGACATAATTAAAAGGCATATTGTGCAAAGGAAATTTTGAAACAAAATTTATTAGAAAATTGTGCATTTTTAAGTGTTTCTCTTGCAATCATTGTGACGTATTTTTTATTATTATAGCGTTTAAGAGGTATAAATCTGATATTTCTATTGAGTTTAGACATCAGTTTTCCGCTGCATCATGATTAAAACTGTAGTGGTATGAAGTGATTTTTATGTAATCAGATCATGACCTTACATTTATTAACTCTAACTTCCATAGGACAATTTGAAAGTATACTGAAATAGAAGCAATATTATCAGCATTTATAACTTATAATTTTACCGTTTCAATATATATATATATA